CCATGGAAATGGATAGAGGATGTAATGAGCTGAATCCAGCATGGCTTGATCTCGAAGTTGTTTGCTGGAATAGGCGGGTAGAGGATGACCGGGCGGATGTCAGCGATCCGTGGAGTGTAGTAGTACTCCAAGGTGGGACCCGGCGGCGGTGGATGATGATGAACCCCATGATCCTGGGGTATGGGGTTGTTCCCCAGGACTTGATTCACCGGGGGAGCCTGCTGAGGATTCCCCTGGTGTTGATTGTACTCTCCGTCCATCCTGTACTCTTCCTCAGAATCGCTGCTCAGGTGGCCGTCTATGCGCTCTTCCGTAGCCAGTCTAGCTCGCTGTTGTCTCCTGAGTTGGCGACAGGTGCGGTCAATCTCTGGATTCAACGGCAGTAAACCTCCCGACTGGCTACGGGTCATGCACTACCTGCACACACTCAAGCAAACAAACACGTGAAGGCACAAGTGGGACAAAGCAAACAAAGCGAAAAGAAAAGCTAAATTAACAGAAATCACTTTTCTTCAACAACCTAGCCATCCCCGGCAACGGCACCAAAAACTTGACTCACTTCTACTGTCACTCTAGAAATTGGCCAAGTGTAACCACTTCCTAAAGCGCAGCGGGTTTGTGTTTTAATGTCAACCCGGGTCCTAGATTTGATGTCTACTCAGTGAATTCGTGTTATCTAGCAATGAAACTTTAGTGCAGGACTAAACTAACAAACAAACAAAGCAACTAAACGGTTGTTTTCAGGTTAAGAGAGGTCACCCGGATATGGTTCCCCCTAGACTGCAGTTAAGCCGGATTGTAATTACCAAGTTCAGTTTCTATGATAGTTATACTGCGGAAGGTTCTTAAGCAGTCTGAAGTCTCGACTAAAGGTCTTCAGACCATCTCAATCTGAGTCTCTAGCGGGCGACTAACCTCCACCGGAGTAAACAGATTGAGGCCCTAACGAACAAAACCTCCACTACCGAAGTGAATACAGTACAAAATAGTGAGTTGGCTCCTCGACTAAAGTCACCAACTCCCTACCTTCAATCAAGGATGCTCTATCAACCTAGGCAGATATTCTCATTCTAGGTTAAAGCAGAAATAACAGGAATTTGATCAGGATTCATGTCATTCAATCATTCAAACCTCAATTGAATATAATAAAATCATAGAATCAGTACTTGGGTTCATACAATCAAACCTAACATACAAATCTAGGGTTCTCCAAACCCAGATGAATGGGAGAACTACTCCATGGAGAAAGAAACAAAAGCAGAATCAGACGCGGAATTCATACTGTGAAGGATGGATTCCTACTCCTGGACGTTGATCGGCACTTCTCCAAGCTCAAGCCAAGCTCCAATGGTGATGAAGATCAAGCTAGGGCACTTGGAGACTCTTGTTCGTCGCTTTCTCTCTCTAGGAATCACTCTGTCTCTCTAAAACTCGAATCCCCTTGATCTTTGGCCTTCTTTTCCTTTAAAACAGCTGCCTGTCGCGATACCCGGTCGGGTATTTTGGGTCTCGACCGGGTATAGTTGAAACGCACGTTTTGCCCAGGGGAAAAATACCCGGTCTCATCCAATAATCCCCGGTCGGGGATTTTGTGCCTCCAGCCTGGGACCCTCTCTGTTTCTCAGACGCCAAAACAGCAAATACCCGGCCTCTTCAGAATAATACCCGGCCGGGTATTTTTGGTCATGGCCGGGTATTTTCTTCCTCCAGCAGACTTCAAGCCTCACTTGCTCCTTTCGACCCAAATCTCGTTCCTTCGCCTCGATTCCAACGCCGGGTCCTGAAATACGACATAAACACACAACCTCGCGTGAAATCGGCTTAAAATCCGAGAGTCAACCTCTCAAACGGCTCAAGAATAGGGGTGAAAATATGTGTAATTATCGGTCTATCACCGGGCTCACCTTCTCCCCTAAGGCTCACTAAGTTCGTCACTCGCCCATTTTAAGGAAGATGAAGGGATGGAAACGACGACGAAGATAGCATCGCCTGCTGGTAGTGAGGGTCAGAGGGTGGGCCGATGGAGGCGATTTTCCTCCTTCTTTCTTTTTCTGGGTATTAGGATAGGGTATTAGGGTTGTGGGGTTAATGGTATGGGGCTGGGTTGTGGGGGAACTGGGAAGTGGCCTTGGGGAGATGACTAGGCCGCTTATGGACTGGGCTAGGCTGTGGGGACTAGGCTGGGAGAGTAAATGGTTTAGTATAGTTAGGTTGTGCATATATTTCGGGTTCTGGATTCGATTTTCGGAATTTCGGGTTCAGTATGACCACCCTAGTTTCCGAAATACCCATATTCTGGTTCCGAATTCCAATCGAATAATAATTGTTTGGTTTTGGTTCGGTTTAGGATTGGTCAGCTCGATTCATTTTGGGTTTATCAAACCAGTTGCCCACCCCTACCAAGCGGGCAGAGGCAAAGATCAAATAACACAACATCCGTCCAAAACCAGACTCATTCATATATATATATATGACCCCACCAAGGACATACTACCCCAAAAGTGGGATAAATTGCATCTCTCTTTCCTTTTTACGTCTTCATGTCGTCTCGAGAGGAGTATATAGGGACATAAAAATAAGATATTATGAACTTCTTTTACTCTAGTATGATAAGCTCATGATCACTAACTTTTAACTTTATCTAAGGTTGTCAAACCGGTTTAAATTGTTGGGCTGGTCAAGTAAGTGGTTTGAGATTCAATGATATGATCGGGATCCAATATGTTTGAGCAGTTTTACACATTCTGTAAAGGGTTAATACCATATTTTTGCCAAACTATACCCAAACTTTCTACTTTGGCCCGTGGTTTCTAAAATTGCTCTCTTGGCCCGAACTATGAATCAAACTTCCTTGTTTGCCCAAGAGCAGGTTTTGACCGTCAAATTGGATAGTCAACTCCATTGACCGTCAAATTGCATGGTCATCTCCATTGATCGTCAAATTGAACTGTCAACTCCATGACCGTTAGTCAACACCATGTCACTTGCCACGTTAACGAGCCCTAAATAAAAAATTTGGATTTTGAATTTCTGTAATTTTTTTCGTTATCTAATAGCCATAATACTTTTCGTTATCTAATAACAATAATCATAATTATTATCGCTATTTTTTGTAAAATAAAAAATAAAAATTGTATTTTAGGTTCGCTGACGTGGCAAGTGAGCTGGCGCTTGACTAACGTTCAATGGATTTGACCATCCAATTTAACTGTCAAAACTCGCGCCGGGCCAAGCAAGGAAGTATGCTGCATAGTTTGGGACAAGGGAGAAATTTCTGGAACAACGGGTCAAAGTAGAAAGTTAGAGTATAGTTCGGGCCAAAATAAGGTATCAACCCTTCTTTAAATACAAAAATTCCACTAGTTTTGAATCTGAAGGTCTCAGAATCACTTAAGTAGTACCTAAAATCACAAAAAATTAACTTATATCACTCTTATGAAAAATATATAAATAAGATAGTAATTTTAAATTTTTATGACTAAAATGAAATTTACCTTACATGTAATTATTAAAAACTCACCTATCATAAAAAAAACCCTACCTAAGTCCCATGACCCACCAGGTAGACATTTATCTCCCCCAATCTCCCTTCTTCTTTTCACTCTCTCAAAGGACAAGGGAAAAAAATGAAGTCCTTCGTAAACTCCTCACACTCACTGGCTGCGTTTATCTTCTCCTCCTTCAACAGTATCAGTGCCACGACTGCCGGCAGTTCCTCTTCAGCTTCTAGTTGTCCGACATGTGACTTCCAGGGACGGAGCTACACAGGCCCTAAGGGGCCCCCAGCCCCCCGAAAATTACCAAAATCATCAATTAAAACTCGAGTGTTTTGAAAATTACGTAGTAACTGAAGCGTTTTATATAAATAAGCCTGTGCAAAGAACTAAACGCAGAACTGATTTGGCCTAATGGGGTAGCTATTGTTTTTTTTTATCACTTTGAGGGTAGGGTTCGATCCCCCATTCTGCATTTGTTTGTCACATGCTTTAATCAATCTATCTACACATAATATAATAGCACAAAGAGAAAAAGTGTTGCTCCATTTCAAATTTCCTACAACGAGAGTGAATGTAGGAAGGACATTTTGGTCTTCACAATTGCTTATTTATTATTTATTTATTCATAAAAAAGACATGACTAGGATTTGAACAATGATCACTTTAAAGAAAAGCAAGAATCATAACCAATCACACTAAGTATATTTGTTGTATCTTTTTAAATTAAAAACATACATGAACCTAAATTCTGAAAATCATATGACTTTTTCAACGATTAGCTGGTCACTGAAATTTCCCCCCGGTAATTAGCGTTGTTTCTATTAAGCACCTTTCTACGCTGAAAAAGCAGCAGTAGAGTCGAAAAATACAAAGGCAGACTGCCTACAAATCCTTATACAAATGAGCTGTAAAGGAGAACAAAAAACAAAACACTAGACAAGATTCTGAAGCTTGTAAGCGAGCTCTAAACTCAGGATTCCCACATCCATACAACCTGATCTCTTCTTTCACTCCAGATACTAATTGGTCAGCTGTATTTAACCTTTCCCCAAAGCATCTCTGATAGCATTCCCTTCAAATGATAGTGATACACCACCACCATAACGTCAATTTCACCAGGCGAGCTTTTGAGGCTGAATGACACATAACTTCCATCATCTGTTCCCATGAGGGTGGAAGTAGAACATTCCTCTGCAGCAGCAGTGATATAAAATCCTTAGTATACCTGCAGGCACAAAATAAGTGGTCTATAGTTTCTGTTTCCTTATTACAAACCACACAAGTATCTTCCCTTATCACTCCTCAACTATGTAACTTATCCTTAGTAGCAATTCGATCAAGAATTACTAACCAAGTGATGACTCGGTTTTTAGGTAGAACAAACTTATTCCATAATATCTTCCACCACACCACAACTGGCTTTCTGCTCCTGATCGCCTGCCAAACTGTTGAGATAGAATATCTAATCATCTTATTTCCTTGCCATGTTACTATCCCATCATTGTCAATATCAACATCTTATTGCCTTGCCATGTTACTATCCCATCATTGCCAATATCCATCCTGTTGCCATGTTACTATCCCATCATTGTCAATATCCATCTTGTATCGAATCCAAGGTGTGATCTTTAACAATTGCTTCCAAATCTAGGACCCTATGGATGATATTCTAACCTGCCAGATTGTTTCCCCTCAGCCTATACTTCCTTATCCAAGAAACCCAAAAACTCCCACCTTGTAGAAGAAGTAACCAGATGAGCCGAGCAATCCATGCTACATTCAAGGAAATCAAGTCATTCATCCCTAGGCCACCTTCCTGCTTAGGAACAACAAGAGTTTCCCAGGAAACTTTGGCTCTACCAGATCCCTCTCCATACCATAGAAAATCAAAGCATACTTTCTGAATGGCTTTAATCGTCTTCTTGGGAATGACAAAAATAGCCATCCAGTAATTCACAATAGAGTAGAGGACAGAATCTATAAGTTGCAGTTTGCCAGCATATGACATTTTATTGGCCCTCTAGCTTCTAATCATGCTTGTAAGTTTGTCCACTAGAACTGAGCATTCCATGCTTGACAGCTTTCCAGAAATCAAGGGTAAGCCAAGATATCTCACAGGGAGGTGTCCCTCTTTGAAACCAGAAACCTGAATAGCAATGTGCTTGAATTGCTTAGCTTGTCCACCAAAGAAAACTTCACACTTATCTGGATTACATTGTAGATCGAATAGCGTGTAGAAGTCATCCAAGATACTTCTGATTCTACTTAAAGCTCTGCCAGATCCCTCAGAAAAGATGATCAAATCATCAGCAAACGCCAGGTGAGTTAAGCCTATCTCTCTACATTGGGGATGAAAAGGCAAGATCTTATCCCCTGCAGTCTTATCTAACATGCCTGTAAGAGGCTTCATTGCTATGGTGAAAAGGTAAGGGAAGATGGGATCCCCCTGCATTACACCATTGGCTGCCTGAAAAAACTCAAACAGACTGCCTTGGATGGAAATGCTAAAATATGCAGAACTAAGACAAAGCTTAATCCATTGACAAAACATTTCTGGGAAGCCCATTTTGATCATTACACAAAGCAAATACTCCCAATTAACTGAATCAAAAGCCTTTTTTAGATCAACCTTCACTGCACATCTAGAAGAGATTTGATTCCTATTATAATTCTGCACTATCTCCTGAGCAATTAGGAATTTCTATAAGATACTTCGACCTTGAATAAAGGCAGATTGAATTCTGTTGATAATGGAAGGAAGAACCATTTTCAGCCTATTGGCAAGCACTTTTGAAATGATCTTGTAGATTATGTTAATACATGCAATATGAAGATAGGCCGTAAGAGAAACTGCATTAGGCACTTTTGGGATCAGTGTAAGAGATGCTGAGTTTATACCTTTTGGTAAGTTTCCTCCACTGATGAAGTGTTGCACCCCCCCTAATGATGTCAGGACCTATAACTCCCCAACATTTTTTTTATAACAACCAGTTGTCCAACCATCTGGACCTAGAGCCTTGGTAGGATCCATGTCAAATAGAGTCGTTTTGACCTCTTGCCCAGTTCCCATAAGTACTTATGGTTTTGATACTTTGATTTTCATATTTTGATTATTTTAGTTACATTTTAATACTTAATTTAAATTTTTATCTATCTTATCTACACATAATATAATAGCAGCAAGGGAAAAACCCTTCCCCATTTCAAATCTGCTGCTCCAAGAGCGTTTGTAGTAAGGGTAGAATAGGTAGTACTAATTTTTTTCTCTTTCCTTTGTGGAACAAGCCAACTTACCGTACACGCGCGAACTTGAATGGTCCTAGAGATTGTTGCGGCCCACAAAAACAAAATAGGTTTTAGCCACACAAATATGTTCTGACGGATTTATATACCCAATTCGTGGGTTCCAAGCCCATGTTCACGCTGCAATCCGCCAAAACGCAAATTTCTGGCAAGTTGTATACAATTCGAGAATTGATTTCGGCGGGAGAGCGAGTAGACTAAACTACCCTTTTGAATAGAGTTTGAAAAGAAACTTTGAGCCATTAATTGGGTGAATGGTCAAATAAGAGTAGACTAAATGAGAGGTGAGAACACTGCCACCATCGGCTCTAAATGGATGAAGCAGATTGCCGATTAATTGAGGTCGATCGAGCTGAAAATGAAAGAACTACCAGCGAGTAGTGAGATAGGGCTTTGAGATTATAGAGATACTTCGTTCTGGAGGAAACAAGGAGTTCCGACGTCGGAGAGATATGACAACCAGTAGTCGATGCGAACAGGAAAAGACGACACCTTTGAATTGAGGAGAATCATCCACCGTCTCGATGCTTCTGGTTGCTAGATATTATTGTCCTTTCTGTTTTTACATCAACGTAACTATATTGTAGAAGTACTGGGAATGGAAAGCCCAAAGGCCATTTACTAATAATCTTGGACTTTTTTTTGGCAATAATCTTGGACTTTAATTTAGTTTTTACTCGATTTCCAAATTGTTAAATTTTATGACGAGAAAAAATGGAACGAAGGATTAATACAATCTAAATGCAGTATTGTGAAAATATACCCTTTTCCATATTATTAATCATTTATCCATTAATACTTTACGGTTTATATATTGTTAATATAAACAAAATAAATGATGTTTTGTATACTAATTGTCAATTATATTAATATAAAATAATTATATATAATATAATAATGACGTTCTCATCACGCTTTCAACTTTAAGTTCTTCTGAAATAGACGCACTCGCGTTCTTGCTCCCGCTCTCGCCCCACGAACTGGTTACCGAAGGCAGACTGATCGCCCACTCTCACGCCGCATCTACCCTTCTCATATGCAAGCCAGCTGCGGATCAACGAGTGATTTACAACAAACTGAACGCCTGTACCGACCTTCTACACCGATTCCGGTTCTTCGCGGTCAATTTCATGCGAAGTGTGTGCTTTCTTCCCGTTTTGGTGACGATTCCTCCACTTCTCAGCCCAATCGAAAGTTGTTTCCATACCCCTCTGTCTTTGCTTCTCTCCCGCTAACAAGCAGATCTGGTCGGGGAAGCGTGAAGGAGATTGGTTCGGGAGATCCATTCACTGTGTTTGTGATTTCCACCCTCCTTCCCGGCGATTCTGGGTTCAGTGCATTCATTGTGCTTTCTGGTTTTTGCCATGCCATGATAAAATCTAAAGAAATAAAGAATGAACCACACAATTTGGGATAGGAATCGTCGTTTCTGTACTCCTAGAAAATGGTGGTAAACACGGACTCAACTTTTGGATTAAGATTTTTATCAGGTATCAGGGAACCATGTGAGTATAAATTAGGCTTGATCAAAACGTGACAAAACTTTAAATTCAGCCTGTTTGACCGACCCTATGCCAAAATCTAGTTATTCTTTAGTTTCAAACTTTCTATTTGAAAATAAAAAATAGTGAAAGAAAAGAGAAGATTGCAATTCTCCATTTGCACATCACTGCTTAGGGAACAAAACCATATAAATTCGAAAGGAAACTTAAAAATATTTAGTATTGTTTTAATGTTAAAAATAATCAAATGTATCTTTCTGTTTAGTTATTTAGTAACAAATACCAAACACTTCCCTATAAAATACACTATAATTTAACCATTATGATATAAAATTATTACATAATATATATTTGAAATGATAAAAATTGAACTAATTGGGTTGGTCGAGGTTTAACCATTTAATCACTTAAAAATACATTATATTTTAGCCACTAAGATATAAAATAATAGCATAATATATGTTTCAAATTAGAAAAACTAGGCTAATCGAGTTGGATCGTAGGTTAACCATTTAACCCTTTCAGTGAGTTGATGAATGGATTGTTCCATTCGAATTAATAACTTTGACGACAAGATGAAAGTTCTATAAAGAAAATTAACCGGCGAATGGGCCGAGTAAAAGCTAGCAACGATTGTGACTTTCTCATTTCTCGAAAACTAGAGGGACAAGCAATTTTTTATTCGGGTTTCTAGAATTTGGTTTCTATAAACTTACTCCACCTCCTCATATTACCAGAAATAATATTGTTTCACAAGGTAACAGGTACTCGAACTTGGTTCATAAGATTGATTTTCTATTGCATCATTCATGCCTCGTTTTTTCTAAAATTCAATATCTTTATCACGTGTTTCCAAAAAAAAAAAAAACTATACAACAATAATCTATACACCCCATTACATTCTCAAATTTCATAACTCACCTCCTCCAGCCAATTGGCCGGTGCTCCAAGTTATTACTTTGTTGGAAAGCTAAATTAGTTACTTAACTCTATATAAAATTAGTTTTTTACCCGCCCGTTGGGCGGTATATTTTGTTTGGGTGTTTTATAATTCGTTATAGTATTCTAATTGTTATTATTATTAATGTTTGCTAAGGTAATATACATGGAATTACAAATCTCACTTACCTTATTTCAGTTATTATTTCATACTTTTATACCTTTTGTTTATTTATGAACATTTTAATTTTATTAACTGAGCTCTTTGTAGACGGTTCTTTATTGATTTAGAATTTTTTTTATCGAACTCGCCCTTTAAGATTATAAACATAAGAGATTATTCATTCTTTAGCACAGAATTGTGATAAAGAAGTTAAACAACTTACGGCCACAAAAGAAGAAGTTAGAATAAAAAAATATGCTTCAATTCATATAAAAAATAAGCGAAGAGCTTTTTATTTTCTCTCCCTTCTCATATGTCCGTATATGATAATAGAGAATATTCCGATATAAATCTCATGAATATCGTGTATTATCACTTACACATACAATTTTGGAATAATGAGGAAACTCATTAGCATCCACGTCCATCAATCTTTCACGTACTTAGTTTAATTACCTTGAAATGTTCTAGCAAAACCAACCATAAACAAAACTATTAGCTGTCAATAACTTATTAAAGCAATATTTTCAGCAAATTAAACTGCATATAATTAAACACAATTTATATTTTGTAGAGAGCTACATATCTCCTGCAGAAAAGAATTGTGCTTCCCTTTATAAAACTCCAATTATGTTCCCTTCTGCTTATAACCCCTTTGCTACCTACTAATTACTAACCAAATTATCATTGTATAGCTAGCTAGTAGCAGCATGTCAATCATAAACATAAAATATAATAAACAATCATCACAACTCTACTTTCCATTTCAACATTCAAGAAATCGGGTTGCAATAGGCATTCAAGAAAAACGATCAATTATTCAACCAAATGAGGTATGCCCTAAGTCCAACCAATTAACCCTTCTAATTATATTTTATATACATGAAAGTATATGGCGACCCTTCTCAGTAAAAAACAAAGACGAAATATATTCACTCATCGAGAGTGGGAAAATTTACCATCCACCAGTCGTAATTTGGAAGAAATTAAGAAAAGAATGAGAAAAAGAGTATAACTCGGCCAGTCAACCGCAAACAATAACATATCAATGAAAAAGTGAGACCAGTTGCCAGCTTCAGATCAAGGAGAAAGAGGGAGCAGTCGACAACCCTCGGCTTGGTTCACCTCATCTTCACAATGATCAGATTAACTTTTTTCGTCAATAGGCAAAAATATGTTATAACTGCTCAAAAAATCGTATGCATTACCATTTCCTTCTCTATAAATTATGAGAATACAAATATTAGAAATCTCAAAAAATTTAGCAACTAATAAGAGTGCTTTGTTTATTTTTATGGTGGTTGACATACTTTCTTAATTTCTTATTTTCAATGTTGGATTTTATTTCTAGAGAGACAATAAAAATGGGGAAAGGTATAGAAACAAATTAAAAGTTTGCATTAATAATTAATATGTTTTCATTTAATAGAAATGAATAAGAAGTTTTTTAAAAAATAACAATTATTGCACTATCAAGTTTATATTCAGACATTTTAATTAAAAAATTATTTCTTAGGTGTGTGTTTTTTGTTTTAATGTTTCCTAAAAAATTAACTTATTTTAATATTAGTAAAAATGAGAAGAATTATTAAAAGAAGAGAGAGACAACTTCATAAATAGATCAATAAATAGTTTTTTGTTTGAAAAAAAATTGTCCACTTTGGCAACTTGTGCATTCACCAATTGCTTATGTGGCAAGAAGTTATTTTTGAATAGCCATAATATTTAGTATAGATAGATAGATAGATAGATAGATATAGATATAGAT